ACGACTCAAAATTAGGCAGGATTTTAGCTTGTTTCCGACCGCCGTGGTATATTTATATATATATATATATTTATATATAAACACGCTTGCCTCTATAGTCCGTGTGGTGACGGATTAAGAATACAGAGTGTCACCACCTCTATTTATCCCGTGGGTGTCGTAAGAGCCGACTAAGGGCGTAAACTACGCAGGACTACAGCACTGCAGAGAGAAGAAAAACTTAACACAAACCCTATACCAACAAGTCTGGCCAGCGTGGTATAGTAGGTTTTGACACCTCCTTTCTAAGGAGAGGCCTGAGTCTAGTAGTGGATTATTAAAGGCTGATGATGATTACTTCTTTCACGTGAGTTGAATCTTATTATAGTAGGTAAAATGTGTTTATCACGCCCCTGTCTACCCCTTTGGAAATAAAACAATAATTGTGTGTGTAACTCGTAGCTAAAGACAATAACTTAAAGAAAAAATGTAAATTTCTACCGTATTTCAAAGCACATTCGTTTATATGCGCTATAAATTGTTGCGGAACCCTAATTTTATTCATAGACTTTTTACGCAGGAATATCCACCCCTATGTGAATGGGTGTATGGAAGTACGCCAGCCAGATCGCTTATGACTTTAACAATGTTGAAAATTTTCGTATCAATGGATTTTTCTGTGTAAAAATTGCCTTACAAAATTAAAAGAGCAAAAGTCTCTTTGCAGTTCCTATTTATATAGGTTATTCTAACTGTAGGAGAGTCCTTCTAGGCCGGAGTGATGCTACGACCTCATAGGAAACCGGTGTTAAATAATTCTTTCGTTGGTTTCCTGTTGGTCTAGTGGTTGGTGAACCTGACTGCTAAACTGGAGGTCGTGTTTTCGATTCAGGACAAGTATTTGTGTGATGAGCGCGATCATTTGTTCTGTGTCGGGGTGTAATTTATCTATGATATGTATGTATTTAGAAATATATAAGTATGTTTATCAGCGGTCTGGTTACCATAGCACAGGCTCTGCCTAGTTTGTAATCAGACTACCGTGTATGAGATATGTGAGGTTATTATTATTATTGTTATAAATAGAACATTATTTTTGGTGTTAAAGTGCATGTGACTCAGTGACCCAATATGGTACGGGATTCGGACATTTGCTTTTAAACAGTCGAGTTAATTACACAAAGTGAATAACTACAGGCCGTGTAGTGATGATCTGCGCAACATGGCTGACGGGAGCTGGAAGTGGTGGTCAATGGGACTTACAATCTATTAGTTATTATTTTTGACGGGCCTGTTGGTCTAGTGGTTAATGATCGTCACCGCGGTTCGATTTCCATCCAGGAAAAATACTTGTTTATCACACAAGTATTTTCATCGTGTTGTGTTCATTCGTGTGATCATTTGTTCTGTGTTTGGGTGTAATGATCTACAATATGTATTTACAATATGTATATTTACAAGTATGTTTATCAACTGGTGACCACAGCACAGGCAAAAGCCTGTATTTGGGCCTTACTAGTTAAAACTAGGAATCAGACGGCCGTGTGTGACATGAGTAGGGTTATTATTATTGAACCTCAAAATTTGACAAAGACAAAGACATTTGCAAAAAACTGTTTTACATATATGGATGTTCTGTAGTATGTAAAGTTTCAACAGCTACCCAATCGGGCATTGCATAAACCACTATGCCATCCGTGCAGTCAATTAATTAAAAAAGCATGCATATTATTTTGTGAGAAAATACTCTTGCAAATAATAGAACACACTCTTAATTAATCATTTTTTTAAAGCATTTTTGAACATTTTTCCATGACTTGACCATAGGTCCGGGATTGCATACCCGTTTCTCTGTCCTGTAATTAGAAAAGCCATTATCACCGGGACACTAGAAATGTTTTACTGACTGAACTTGGCGGGTCCTCTTCACTTGATGTTACTGAGTCGGTGGCATAACATTCACGCTATACGCTTCTGGGGGTAGTCAGTAATAAAAATACAACGCATCATTGAATCGAGAGTCAGCCTTTGAGTATATGAATGAATAAAAATGATTTCTTTTTGATCGCAGATGAAGGCAATGTGTTTTTTTTTTTTTGCTTTTTTATGATATAGGTAGCAAACAAGTTAGATTATCAGATGGTAAGTGACTACCACTGCAAATGGACACGTGCATCTCAAGAGTTGTAAATGCTGCGTAGAGACTCTCATTTACAAGTATTTCGTACTATTTTCCTACTCCCCCCCCCCCCCCCCTTCTGAGGTGAAGTAGCACACAAAGGCCAGGTTTGCTTCCAATACTATAAAAGCAACTATGAAGCTCCGTAGCAACTAAATCAAATTACTATTTTGCTACCTTCCCTTCAAAGCTCGCCCTTCTAAGCCGATCCTGGTAGCACAAAGTACTATAAAACTCACTTCAGGGTCACGTTTAAGCAGTAAAAAGTCTTTGATACTTCTTAAAATACAGGCTGTTCACAAAAATTCATGAGGTTCTGATTTATAAACTTCTTAGAAGACTTTATATTTGACGGGCCTGTTGGTCTAGAGGTTACTGACCCTGAATAGAGAGAATATTGCCGGATATCTGATATACAACGCCATCTAGTTTCAAACTAAGCAGAGCTTGTACTATGAAAGCTAGATTGACTAATACTGAACTTACATACTTTGTTTTTGTTAATACATACCCAAACTCCGAAATAAATATTTGTAAATCATACAAACATTTGATCTGATCCGAGATCTCAGCACAACCAACACGTACACATCATCATCATCATCTCATCGCAGTCCACTGCTGGACATAGGCCTCTCCCATTGCACGCCACTTAGATCGATTTTGGTCTTCTCGCATCCAGCTCCTGTCAGCCATCTTGCGCAAATCGTCACTCCACCTGGCCTGTGGGCATCCTACACTACGTTTGCCGATCCGCGATCTCCACTCAAGAACTCGTTTTCCCCAACGGTTGTCGGTTTTGCGGCTAATATGGCCAGCCCACTGCCACTTCAGCTTGCTAATCCGGTAGGCTATGTCGGTGACCTTGGTTCTCTGGCGGATCACCTCATTCCTGAAGCGATCCCTTATTTTTTTTCCCCTAAACCCTCAATGTAATAATAAAAGGCAATAATTTTGAGTTGTCAAAAAGTGAACAGCCTCTTTATGCATAAGGTACATCTTACAGATCCACACAACCTTTATACGGCTTCTAAATTACGTGCGAAGAATACAAGATGGCTGAATTATTGTGTTTTAAACTGGATTTGCTTTCATAGTGTCACTTGTGGTAGCTATCTGCTGAGGTACAGTTTAAGCAACTTGAAAGAAAAAAAATCCCGACAAGTGTGAGTCGGACATGCCTACCGAGGGTTCCGTACACCGTACACACACACATTTTCGAGCTTTGCCAGAAATTCAGTTTCCAAAACCTAAAATCACTTTTATTTTTGATTTTTATAAAAGAAACTGTACCTCGTTGATTGGTTACGTACTTTAAGTAGACTGTTTTTTTTTTTATTTACAAATGTAAAGTTTTTGGATTTTTCGTTGCCAAATTTCATAGTACATACATTCATAGTTCAACAGAAAATACCTTTTTTTTTGTACGGAAATCCCCTCGGATACCACCTCGGACTCGAACCGACTAAAACCGCACGCCGTCTCGGGTACTAATAGCCGGAGAACCAGGTATACCCTAGAAAGGAAGTCCCTGGTGCAACAGAAAATACCCTATAAATTTTGCGTGTGCAATATATAGGCGTATTCTTCGATACGTCTTTTGCGGCATAAACGACTGTATCTTTTTTTCACGTTAACTTAGAAGTTTGATTTTTTCACAGCTTCTAGAGACTGTAGACCTAAGTATATCGTTTTAATTTCAACTCGATACCTTCACGCGTTTCCGAGATAAAGGGTCTTGACAGACAGATAGACGGACGGACAAGGGTGTAAGGACGTAAAAAGATTCCAATTTTTTCCTATTGAGGTGCGGAACTCTAAAGATTACATTACCGAGTCTTACTCGTGCATTAAGCTCTATCAATCTCCTAATATGTTGCTGCAGCTCATTTTTAATATCACTAATTGTACATAACGTCACGTAATAAGCAGATATTATCCCTACTACTATTATAGTCTAACCGTTATTATCCGTGTAGTGACAGATTAAGAATACAGAGTGTCACAACCCCTATTTATCCAGTGGGTGTCGTAAGAGCCGACTAAGGGAGTAAACTACGAAGGATAACAGCACTGCAGAGAGAAGGAAAACTTGACACAAACCCTATACAAACCCGTCTGGCCAGCGTGGTATAGTAGGCCAAAACCTTCTTTCTAAGGAGATGCCTATGTCCAGCAGTGGACTGTTAAAGGCTGTTGATGATGACTATTATAAATATGAAATCAACTCTGTTTGTCTGTTTCACAACTAAACCGTTGAACTTGCGGACTTTTCACCACGATACACGCGAGTGGAGCCACAGGATAGTAGGGTATATACATATTTTAGCATACAGTTTACAATAATGTTTACAGTTATCATACAGTTGACTGCACGGATGGCGTAGTGGTTTAAGCGGTCGCCACGCCGCTTCCTACTGCGCTGAGTGTTATTCAAACCCCACATGGGACGACACGTTGTGTGATCCACAAATTGTTGGGTGTTCTTTGTGTCCGTTTCATGTATGTCTGTAAAGTCCCCCGCGACACAGGAATGTATTCCTAATGCAGGAGTTGTCTTTAAAAAATAAAATAAAAATGAGTAAACAGTATTTTTTGAAAAATGTATTTGCAATGGCAGCCTTCTAAGACGAGATTTATAGTGTTGTACCATAGCGCGTCAGTCACATTTGGGCAATGAACCACGACAGAGAGAAAGGCAGTCCCTCTGAATTATGCCTTTATGGCTCTCCTAAATGTAACTTTTTCAAATTGTTGATAGAATTTTGATGCGTGATTTAAAAAAAAGACAAATTAATTTTTAAGTAATTTATTACTTAAATAATATATTTCAGTATCATATTTATCCTTGAGAGAAGAGAGAGAATGCTCTTGTGCGTAAGAAGAAGATACCGGAACGTCTGAAAGAAGAATTTCGTTTGTTAAACACCTTGGACTTCCTGTTTTTCCCACTACGCTGATCTACTGGAGTTATTTATTACACTCTTAATACATTTTTATCTACTGCAAATTTACCAATTTTTAACCGACTTCAAAAAGGACTAGGTTATCAATGCGGATGTGTATATATTTTTTTATGTGTGCTCGTGCATATACAGACGGATTTCGTATTTTTTTTGTTCAGTTCAGTACTGGAGCGCCAACTATCCAGGTAATGAGGATGAAATTTTGACGTGTGGAACTATGGCGGAAATTTGCGGCTAATATTGGTATTACATACCCGGTTTTCGGTAAAATGCCACCCATATTGATTGTTTCGGCGAGTTGACAATTGCCAGCGATGGCAGCATGAATAGTCGGACACCTTCTGCTCAGGAAACCACCAGTTCGCATTGATTCAGCTATGTATCGGAAAGACCTGAAAGAACAGAAATTTGTTGAGTAAAAGTGTCTGCCAAGGTAACGCTCCTGTAAACATATTTATACTAGCTGACCCGGTAAACGTTGTTTTGCCATATACATTATATCTAGGAAATATTGAAAAAAAATATTGTGGGGTTGCGTATAATTTAACCCTTGTTATTTAGGGGTATAAAAAATAGATGTTGGCCGATTCTCAGACCTACCCGATGTGAAAACGAAATTTCATAAAAATCGGTCCAGCCGTTTCGGAGGAGTATGGTAACTATTATTGTGACACAAGAATTTTATATATAAGATATTTTATATAAAAACCCTAACATTTTTTTCCCAAACTATAAATTGCATAAGTTTTCCCCTTATAGTATCAGAGAGGCTCTTGACTAAGTGGTAACCGGATAGGATAACACATTACAAAGTCAAGCAATCCTAGCCAGGTCAGTCTATAGATGGGTGACCATTCTTAACACATTGAAACCCCTCCGTGCCTCAGAGAGCAAGTTGAGCCGTCGGTCCTGGTCGAGATACGAATACTGTGGCAATCGTCACGGGTCGTCAGTGGAGCCCCAAAAGTTCCATAGTCTTTCTACAGAACTTCGATATCGCTTAGTAATTGGGTTTTGGAGATCTGATGGCATTTATAAAATCGAATTTCAGCCATATCGTTGTAGATTTAACCTCAACATTTTTAAGTAAAAAAGCTCCCTGCAGGAAGACACCTTACACCATCAGCTATTGTGCTATCAAATATTGTGTGATGAGCACTGTCATTTGTTCTATGTCTGGGTGTAATTTATCTATGATATGTATGTATTTAGAAATATATAAGTATGTTTATCAGCAGTCTGGTTACCATAGTACAGGCTCTGGCTAGTTTGGGATCAGACGGCCGTGTGTGAGATGTGAGAGATATTATATTATTATCCAGTGGAATTTAAATGGAAATCAAACATTCTAGAACTGTGCTTTTGGCAATTATTATATGGCTCAACCGAAGTGACATTATGGGCTCATAGAAATCTGGTGATGAACAATTCTTTCGTTGCTAAGAGGAGAGGAGAGGATACTGGGGGCCTAATCGCCAACTTCTTTTTTTTCCTGTGCGGGAATTCCCTCGGATAGCACCCACCGGTGGTTATGTCGGACTCTAACCGACTAAAAACCGCACGCAATCTCAGGGTACCAGTTGCCGGAGAATCAGGTGTACCGTACCCGACGTACACCGAGCCATCTGCGGCATGTAGATGACCCCCCCGTGTTTGGGTGGAATGATTATATCAGACTCGAACCAACCAAAAACTCCAAGTAGTCTTGGGACCTTTTCATCCTGATTTTGGTTGGGGACCGTGAGATACTGGTGTCAGCAAATGCCCAAGTCACTTCCCCAGTTAATTACTCTAGTTGCAAAACTCGATGGGCTTTGATAGTCATTTACCCTCAAGTGATCCGTCGACTTGTTTGCCCCTTTCACCACAAAAATATCTACGTGACTGCACTGAATGTTGTGGGTTCGATCCCGACATGGGACACCACTTTGTGTTATTCAGTAATTGTTGTTCTGAGTTTGGGTATCTTTGCATCCGTTTCATGTATATTTTTGAAGACCTCCACGACACAGGATATTTTATTCCAAATGCGGGAGCTGTTTAAAAAAAAAAAGTGTATGTACTTACATCTCATGGTTGCAAAAGTTGGTAAGACACCCAGGCATCATTGTTCCCTGGTTAGGGTAGAAGTCAACATGCCCAAGGGCCCTCGTCATGCCTGGAAAATAGGAAATTCTGTAAGTATTTTGACTGTATGTCACTAATCATCATTATCAACAGCCTATAATAGTCCACTGCTGGACATAGGTCTCTCCTTAGAAAGTAGGATTTGGCCTACTCTACTTGTGAATTGCAAAAGAGTGGCCATGAGTTTGTTTGCCCTTTCTTCTCATAAGGCTCAACCCCTTGGAAACGGGCGGTTGTAGATCGGCACAGGCATATCATAGATTTTGTATGGGTTTGATTTTGTTAAATTTATTTGGTTACTATTTGACAAAACAGAGATTGTTGCTTTTGTGTGTGTTGATCTATGACTTTAGAGTCTACATGGAAGACGATTTCAAACAATTTTGAAAATTTTATGAAATAAAGAAAGTTTGAGTTTGAGTTTGAGTATACCACGCTGACCAGACGGGTTGGTATAGAGTTTATATCAAGTTTTCCGTCTCTAATATGTTATGTTCTGCTTATGTCAGTAATAGTAAAAATAAATGTTCTATAAACAAATATTCTCTTAGAATTAAAAAAATATTATTTTATTTTATTAAAATGTAAAAGAGAAAAAAAAAGCCGTGTGGTGTCGTGGGACACCCGATAGGAACGAAGTTGTGACGATCGAGTAAAACTGATTTGACACGATTTTAATTACAACGCCATCTATGCAAGCGGCTATTACCTACATATTAAAAACAATTAAAACAATTTATACATTGGTAAAATCTCCTTGCGAAATGATTTCCTATCTATTCCATAGATGGCCCTGAATGTCTGACAAGATGACACGAAAATAAAGAGCAAAGAGCCAACATCACGTGGTATTCCCAGGCGGTCACCCATCCAAGTACTAGCCACGCCCGATGTTGCTTAACTTCGGTGATCGGACGAGAACCGGTGTATTCAACATGGTATGGACATTTGGCGAACGTTAAAGCAAATTTAATGTATGGTATCCACAGTTAGACGTCAATTTATATTAAAAGTGTCGTTCCAAATTTTATTATAAGGAACTTCGTTCCAAAAATTCATCCATTCATCCATCCATCCATAAAGAAATTTAGAAAGTATGAAATCGTACCAATGCTTGAAATATCAGTGTGGATCACTTCTGTGTATAACCCATCATTCGGTTGGAAGACGTCAGCATCGTCCCATCGGTCGGCAGGATCGCAAGCTATAAAAAGCAAATATAAGAGTAAGAAGAAGAGACGACGAATTTCAGAAGGTTGGGACTTCTTGTTATTCTCATTCTCACTATAGCTATAATGTAATCTTACACGCAAACGTTTGATATCAAACCACACAGAGCCTGTACTGTGGTAACGAGAATTGCTACCATATTAATCATCACATCATCAAAAGCCTTTAATAGCCCACTGCTGGACATAGGCCTCTCCTGAGAGAGGAGGATTTGGCCTATTATACCACGTTGGCTAGAATGGTTGGTATAGGGTTTGTGTCAAGTTTTCCTTCTTGCAGTGCTGTTGTCCTGCGTAGTTTGCTCTCTTCGTCGCCTCTTACGACACCCACGGGATGAATAGGGGTGGTGACACTCTGTATTCTTCCCGGATTCCCGTCACCACACGGATATATTATTCTAAATGGCACACAGACACAAAACAAATGATCGTGCGCATAGCACAAGTAATAGGTCTTTACCTATGAAATTGCCGTTTTCTATGCAATAAGTGAAAGTACTTATTTTTTCAAACTTTTTTATTTCTGTTATTTGAAGTAATCACCCATGCAATCGACGCATCTTAGCCAACGCATCGGCAGTTTATTGATGCCCTTCTTGTAAAAATCAGCTGGACGGGAGGCAACAAACTCTTCAAAGGCATTTTGTACTGCCTCTCGGGAATTGAATTTTTTACCCACTAAAAAGTTGTGTAAATTTTGGAAAACGTAATAGTCGGTATGTGCAAGGTCTGGTGAGTACTTCAAGATATTCACAGTGTTATACAAAGCTTGGCTAGCTTTGTATAACACTGTAAATATCTTGAAGTAAGAGAAGAAAAAGAGAAGCAAATATAACTGAATAGAGAAGTACTTACCAATGATGTAACTGGGACGACCATTCATGTTTCTACCAAGGATACCAGCACCGTGACCTAGAATATACGAATAGATCATAAGCACTAAAAGTGGATCCAGCAAATGAGTTGGGTTTAATTTTCAATCAATCTTGGTGTTCTATCTCCCTGTTTCGAAAAGATAGACTCTTAAAAGAGAAAAAACAGTTTAAAATAAAGGTTATCAGGACATAATTATAAAGGTATGCTAAATTTTGATATTGAAAAGGAAATTTGAAGGAAAAATAACACTGGGGCTTAAATGATTGTCTTTATAACCATAACAAAATAAAATAAACAGATATCTTAAAATGAATATTAATACTTAAAAATTGATTAGTTTTTTTTTTGACAAAATAAAGAACGCTGACAACGCTGCAAGCATTAAAAAAGATAAACTATAGATTAAATATTGATTACAAAAACGCATAATTTTCCATTGCATATCAGTGATTACATAACCAAATACTGCCGGTACTCCCCCGTGGGATTAGGGCTGAGTTCCGGGCGGATAGGGGCAGTCGGCCCCCGCCCGAAGAGATACGCAAGTGGCGTGAAGCTGCTCGCCGAACCACAATGGTTCGTTGGTCGTCCCGGCTGGAGGCTCCACGTGCTGGCTTTGCCGCCTTGGAAGCGCTCCAGCCGGTTATCATCGAGTGGGCAGGGCGGCAGCATGGGACCCTTTCCTTCCGACTGACGCAGGTCCTTTCCAGGCACGGTTGCTTCGGGAAGTACCTGCACTCGGTTGCTATGAGGGAATGGAGTCCCGCCTGTCACCTCTGCAATTGCATTGAGTACTCGGCTCAGCACACGCTGGCAATCTGCCCGGCTTGGGCGTTGCAGCGTCTCATCCTTTCTGCAGTCATCGGAGGAGATCTCTCGCTACCGGCCGTCATACGCTCCATGACCGGTAGTGATAGTTGTTTTACCCTGGCCGCATCCTTCTGCGAAGATGTCATCTCGCACAAGGAGGCTGCGGAGAGGGCCCGGGAGAATGACCTCCACTCGGTCCCAAATCGCACTGAGTGTGGCTGCGTTTGTGGTTTTCTCCTCCACCCGACATAACGGCGTTTGCGTATACCGGACGTCGCCTAAATAGAGAATGTACCCGAAGGTAACCGAGCAGTTGCGGGCAGGCGATGGAGGGGTCCGGATGTCTTAATAACAGCAGTTCCCGGATCCCTCCTATTACAGGCGCAGAGTGGCACACCGTGTGGTTTTAGTCGGTTCGATTCCGACACACCACCCCGCCGAAAACCCCGGTGGGGTGACGGCCAGAGAGGGTAGGGTAGGGTCCACACGTAAAATAAAAAAGAAACAATCACCAATGCACATAAACAATCACTTCATCTGATTCGATTATTTGTCGATAGTATAACAACAACAATATAAGAATATTTAATTATCCATATTGATTAATTTTTACCTATTTAATTAGGTATTTATCTAAATCCTTGAATCACCTATACATTTATACTGACGCGTGAAAATAATTTAGAATGACGTTATCAAAAAACATTTTTTTTTGATAATCTAATCTTATTTAAAAAATCTTTGCGAAGATAAGACTTAAACAGAAATATTTAAAGTATACTAGAGATCGCGTGGATTTGAATAGGGCATTTTATTTTGTTGACCAATATAAATTGAACTGATATTATTAAAACTTTTGTACCATGACAGATCAACCCTGCACCCTGAAATAGCCGATATTATATAGTTTTTCTCTTTACATTGAAGAGGAAATGGTTAGAAATTGAGTTAGCAAAAAGAAAAAACTCGTTAGGCCGACCCCAAATAAAGGGAATAAGAGAAGCAAAAATAGTGTAGATGTTGAATATTATGTATGCTTTGCTATATTACCTCCAACACTGTAGCCGACGATGGTGAATTGGTTCGGGTTGGAACCTGTCTGAGCCATGAGCCAATTGACGAAACGAGCCCCGGCCTGACCTGTAATAAAGGTTATTTGTTATTTTTAACGGACTTCAAAAAGGAGGAGGTTATCAATTTTGATGTTTTTTTAAATCCGGGCATAATTCAGTCATATATAGACGGGTTTGCGAAATTCCTTTATTTTGTTTGAAAGGTGTTTATTCCAAAATGGTCCCATTTAAATTTCATAAAGATCACAACAAGAAGACAACGGAACTCTTCAAAAATGACAGCAAATGAACCGCGATGGCTGCTGGGTTTTTAGTGCTCCTTGTTAGTATTGTTTGAAGTCGTTTTAACTTTTAAAACAAACTCACTACTCAGTATTTAATCCTAGACACGTTTAGAGAGCTTAGACTTTTTCGGAATGTCTAATTCGAGTAACAGCTAAGGATAGATTAGGACATGTAGTCCCCATCTATCCTTATGAGCAATAAAATATTTCTCTGCTTGCCTTCCCTTCTTATCTACCTTGTCTTTTTAATGTACGTCTAATTCTCCTACAATTAGGAATTACTTAAATCTCCCAGTAAACGGTAATAGGCTTGCCCTTACTTACGAATTATTCGTAAGTTGGACTCATCAACAGCCTTTAAGAAGTTTTGGCCTACTATGCTACGGTGGCCAGACGGGTTGGTATAGGGTTTGTTTCAAGTTTTCCTTCTCTTGCAGTACTGTAGTTCAGTCCTGCGTAGTTTTGCTGCTTTGCTGGGCTCTTACGACACCAATGGGATGAATATGGGTGGAGACACTCCGTATTCTTTATACGTCACCACACGGACAAGTGGGATTAAGACAAAATAAACTGCAAGAGGAAGATTACTGGAGCCCAACCCCCTTTCCCTTTATTCCATGGACGGTAGAAGTCACGTACCACCACCAGGTGAATCTTCTGCTCATATGCCCTTTTTACCTGCATTATATTAGCATTTGTAGAAGTTTTAACAACCATAAGCAATGGTGAATATTAACTCACCAACAGCCTTAGCACGTGGTCCCCACATGGATCCAGCACTCCAATCCACTACTATCACATTGCAGTCGTCTCCAGCCAAGAAAGCTGTTAATAAAAAATATTGAGGTTATTTTTCAAACTATATTTGCTTAGTTTTGGAAAAATCTGCACGACAACACGGATGGCGTAGTGGTTTAAGCACCCACCACGCCGCTTCCTACTACCCTGAGTGTTGTGGTTTCGATCCCCACATGGGACGACACTTTGCGTGATTTACAAATTGTTGTTCTGAGTCTGGGTGATCTCTGTGTCCGTTTCATGTATGTTTGTAAAGTCCCCCGCGACACAGGGTACATTCCTAATGCGAGAGTTTCTAGCCATATTTTGGATACCTTACTAAGTTTTGGGTCTGATCAAGAGCCTTTATCAAGAGTTGTAAACGACCTACTGCGCATATTAAGTACCACACTGACAAGAGTATAAAATCAAATATTCATCTATAAAATACCATACTCCCAAAATATGGCTAGAAATAAAACCATATTCTCTTTCTCTTTAAAATTCTCTTTAAAAAGACAACTCCCGCATTAGGAATATATCCTGTGTTGCGGGGGACTTTACAAACATACATGAAACGGACACAAAGTACACCCAGACTCAGAACAACAATTTATGGATCGCACATAGTGTCGTCTCATGTGGGGATCGGACCCACAATACTCAGCGTAAAAGACCGCTTAACCACTACGCCATCCGTGCAGTCAATATATTTCTGCAATTCTTCTGTATTTAAACATTAAACATTTAAAAAACCATACGTTTCCGTTTTTAAAAAGAGATAAAATGAATTCTCTTTATGCATTAATATACAGATAGTTACCTGGAACCAATTCATTGTTGAACCTGGATGTCGCGGATCCAGCAAAACCGTGTATCAAAACGACTGTGCGTCTGTTAGGGCTGTAGTTAGATGATCTTACGGAAGCAGCGTTGTTGATTTGTAACACTTGCCCCACAATGGGGTTCGACCTATAAATAATTAAAAAATATTTAATCTATATGTATATAAGAGATTTTCACGTATACGTCACTCATCACGATATCTCTGGAACCATTAGAGCTAAAGACTTGAAATTTGGTAGGAATATTCTTTTCACCGAGTAGAGGTCAGCTAAGAACGGATTTTAAGAAATTCAAAAAAAGAAAAAAAAATGTAAATAACAAAACAACGTTTGCAGGGTCAGCTAGTTAGTTATATAAGCAACTAGCTTTTGCCCGCGACTTCGTCTGCGTTGTGGTGGAAGTCAGACATCATAGGGGAATCAATGAATCAAGATTACAGGTGTATTCTCCATAAAAACATGCTTCCCTTTTTACACGCTTTATATTAGCTTCACTTGTATGTTTGTTTGTTTGTTTGTAACCGACTCCTTTGGACGTGATTTTGACTGACTTTAAACGGTCAGAATTTGTTCAAACTTTGTAGATATATCGAGGACCGATGACAATACACTAATAAAAAAAAAAAGTAGTTTTAAAAATGTTGTCAATAGTAAAAAGCACCACACGCTTTTTTTTTTAAATTTAATAAAATTTATTTTCTATTTTTTAGTTTGGATTTCTATAAAAAAGCGTGTTTTTTAGTTTTTTTAAACTCTTATTTTTTAAGGGTAGTTATATGCTTCTGGACCCAGCCATCAGCCGTACGTTGATCGATTATATTTTTATTATAAAAAAGACAACTCCCGCACTAGGAATAAATCCTGTGCCTGACTTTACAAACATACATAAAAAGGACACAAAGAACACTCAGACTCAGAACAACAATTTGTGGATCCCACAAAGTGTCGTCCCATGTGGGGATCGAACCCACAATACTCAGCGTAGTAGTAAGCGGCGTGGCAACCGCTTAAACCATTACGCTATCCGTGCAGTCAATTGTATATATCGATTGGAGGGATACTATACCATAATAAAGCCATAGCTTAGTATTTAAATTTACCATCGTTATAATAAAAGAAGATCAACTCACCTGGTGAACAGAAGGTATACGTTATCTTGATCAGCGTTAAATCGGGCAAGACTTCTGTAGTCGCTGAGCTTCAACCAGTTGTCCACCAACTCAAGGTCCCCAGCATCAGTCTCCATGTAATCGTAACGGAGCCCTTCTGAAAACTTGCCCAGCACCGGATCGGTGGGAGCACCTAAAAAAATTACAAAATAATATGTCTTATCTAAAGTTAATTTGTTCTCATATTAAATTTATTGAATACTAGTCTAAAAAAAGTAGCCTAAGTTACTCCTTATGCCATCAGCTATCTGCCAGTGAAAGTCCCGTCGAAATCGGTCCAGCCGTTGCAGAGGTTACCCGGAACAAAAAGACAGACAGACAGACAAAAATTGTAAAAAATGTTATTTTGGCATATGTACCGTGTAAACATACATATGCATTTATTAAAAAGCGGTTATTTTAATATTACAAACAAACACTCCAATTTTATTTATTACAAAATCGATCTAAGTGGTGTGCAATGGGAGAGGCCTATGTCCAGCAGTGGACTGCGACAGGCTGATGATGATGACGCACACATAATAGCGCAGTAGAGGTAGGCCAATGGAAAGATGGCTCGATAGCGGGCGACAACTGGACGGAAAAGGCAATGGACAGAGACAAGTGGGGGAAAATGGAGGAGGCCTTTACTCAGGAGGGAGGTTCTTAATACTATCAATGACTGACAAAAAGAAAGATAATAATAATAATGGATCATCAACAGCCTTTATCAGTCCACTGCTGGACATAGGCCTCTCCTTAGAAAGGAGGTTTTGGCCTACTATACCACGCTGGCCAGACGGGTTGGTATAGGGTTTGTGTCAGGTTTTCCTTTCTTTTTGCAGTGTTGTGGTCCTGCTTAGTTTGCTCCCTTAGTCGGCTCTTACGACACCCACGGGATGATTGGGGGTGGTGACAATCCGTATTCTTAATCCGTCACCACACGGACATAATGGATAATGCAATACATTAATGAAATTAAATACGAAATAACCGGTGTAAAATAACAATAACAATAAATAATATTCATATATGGATGTTAATTTAAATGTAAAAAGCATTTTTATATTGTTTTTTTTTTATATCTTATTTATATTCAAGTGAAGAATTGAATTGAATGGAAATCAAATATTGTAAATGTAATTGTAGATAGGTAAATGTATTTTATTGTAATTGCATTTTATTAAGGAATAAACAAGGCTTAAAATAAATAAAATAAAATAAATAAACGCACACACATTTATTTGTACAAATAAATAAAATTGAAGTGTCTATTTGTAATGTCAAAAGAATAGATTTTTTTCATGCTCACACGGATATTTGCAATATACCTATGCCTAACCAGTTAAAATATTTTTTGTCCGTCTATTTATTCCGGGTAATCTTTAAAACGTTTTGATAATATTTTTCTACCAGGTAGCTGTCTATATAAGGAGTAATTGAGGCTATTTTAAGTCGCAGAAAAACCCTATGAAAATTTCCCGGTCCGGGAATAAAAAAGCCGTGTGGTGTCGTGGGACACCCGATAGGAACGAAGTTGTGACGATCGAGTAAAACTGATTCGACACGATTTTAATTACGACGCCATCTATGAAAGCGGCTATTACCTACATATTTTTCAGTTGGTTTCTAATTAAACATTTATACATTGGTAAAATCTCCTTGAGAAATGATTTCCTATCTATTCGATAGATAGATTCTAAAAAGTGTCGTTACAACTTATCGTGAGATTTTTTTGGACTGCAGTCGCATGTACACCACTAAGGCAGTGCTTTTCAAATTAGACGCCAACGCATTATAGATAAATTATATTCAGACAAAAATAACGATCGTGCTCATCACACGATTATTTATCCTGGGTATGAATCGAACCCACGATCTCTGGTTTAGCAGTCAGTATTACTAACCAGTGAACCAATAAGCCAGTCGTAAATTAAAAATAACTATAATATCAGTGGTTGCCTGGAAGAGATCGCAAAACGCAATAAGGCCGCCAATTGTAAAAAAATTAATACTTTACTCTCCATGTCACATTAATTTAACTTTAGATATAAGACACACCAAAGTATACAAACTGATTTCTTCTTTTTTGACGTGACAACGTCTTATAATTCGATGGAGCTGGCTGCACGCACGAAAAAACATGACTCATGCGGCGTTACCTCGCTCTGAGGCGTTCCATTTAAGGCGTGAAGTGCAAGCGAGAGCGCGGAACGAGCGACAAAGAGGCACAATCGGCCTCCGCGTTCGGCAGCGTTCGATATCTGTCTCTCTCCTACTTGAGTGAGCGATGCGTCCGCGTGGACAGCTGCTACTCGTATACAATAATACATTTTTGAAAAATGCAACCATTCCATCAGTATTTTCTTATGACGTTGTCACGTTCAACTATCGTCAGTAAACCGACTTTACAGACAACCGATATCTTTTTATGTTAGAGGGGGCACAATCGGCCTCCGCCTTCGGCAGCGTTTGACATCTCTCTCTCTCCTACTTGAGTGAGCGATGCGTCCGCGTGGACAGCTGCTATACAATAATACATTTACATGTTTTCGTAAAATGCAACCATTCCATCAGTATTTTCTTATGACGTTGTCACGTTTAACTATCGTCAGTAAACCGACTTTACAGACAACCGATTTTTTTATTAAGTTTTTTGTACAATAAAGAGTTATCTATCTATCTATCTATCAGAGCTATATAGAAATTAGAGACAGTTTTACAAAATAAAATAACAATATCTTGACATACCTGCCGTAAAAACGGCTTGAAGGATCAAGAAGGCACCAGCTACTTTTAACATGTTGACTGTATCATGAGTACTGTGTGACCGAACTATTTATACCAATAGACTTGATGCTTTATCTTCCACAATCTTATAAATCACAGCTATATCTATTGTATTTAAACATTATATTAATAACACCAATACTGATACGTCAGCTAATTAGGCGATAAAGTTTGGTTTTGATAATGCCTTGTTTTAGATTGTACTGGTGTAATTTTGTCAATAATAACGAGTATCCCTCGAGAACAGCAAATATCGATCTCATCATCAACCGCCTTTAATAGTCCACTGCTGGACATAAGCCTCTCCTTAGAAAGGAGGTTTTGGCCTACAATACCACGCTGGCCAGACGGGTTGGTATAGGGTTTGTGTCAAGTTTTCCTTCTTTTTGCAGTGCTGGTGTCCTGCGTTGTTTTGCGCCCTTAGTCGGCTCTTACGACACCCACGGGATGAATTGGGGTAGTGACATTCCGTATTCTTAATCCGTCACTACACGAAAATCGTCACGTCACTAAACGTAAATATCGATCTGTCCGTGTGTCGATAGTCCGTGTGGTGACGGATTAGTCCGTGTGGTGACGGATTAAGAATACAAATTGTCACCACCCCAATTCATCCCGTGGGTGTCGTAAGAGCCGACTAAGGGAGCAAACTAAGCAGGACAACAGCACTGCAAAGAGAAGGAAAACTTGAAACAAACCCTATACCAACCCGTCTGGCCAGCGTGGTATAGTAGGCCAAAACCTCCTTTCTAAGGAGAGGCCTATGTCCAGCAGTGGACTAGTAAAGGCTGTTGATGATGATGATCGATCTGTATGTTAAATTTTATTGTGATCGGTTTAGCAGTTAAGGCCTTTTTTTGTTGATTTTGTGGCAAATCCCTTCGGATCTCCTGCACCTTGGGGCCTAGCCAGGAGTATGTGGTGACTGAACGAATGGCGTAGTGGTTTAAGCGGTCGCCACTCCGCTTCCTACTACACCGAGTGTTGTGGGTTCAAACCCCACATGGGACGACACTTTGTGTGATCCACAAATTGTTGTTCTGAGTCTGGGTGTTCTTTGTGTTCGCTTCGGTCGTCCTACTCTAGGAAACCCGGACTATATAATTTCAGGTGCTCCTCGAAATGACACCACGCTTTATCAGGTCCTATCTCAGGGGAAATTGCATCTTAAAGCGATCAAGCCACCATCCTATCCCCTACTGCAGCGTCCAGTGTAACCCCCTGTTCTTGGCGAGGTTGAGCTCCGAGGGATGGTAGCCCCGAGGAACGCTCATCAGTCAGCATCAGGTCGGGTGTTGAGGATGGTCCAAGGGGATTGTCACGGAGACTAAGTCTCGCGGCAGGTCATGCCTGTCCGGCGGTCGACGATGATAGCAGATAACGGGCTTGCGAGTCGTAAACATACATGAACAGGTTTGTGCCCAGGCGTCTCACAAAGTCGTTTAGGCTCTCCACGCGCAGATTCCTCAATATCGTCCAGTTCCGCACAAAGCGAGGCGTTGGCGAGGATGCGTAGTGCGAGCAACTGCGAGCACCATAAATGAGTCGAGTGCAAATGTACTCCTTGTACACACCGAGCTTTGCACGGTGCTGCAAACGGGACGATAGTACGGGCCGCAGAAGGGAGCGTGCGGCACGAACCTGTGCTACGACATTATTGACGGGCTTCATAGAGAGGTGCGGTCGATGGTCAATCCGAGGTATTTCACCGTCGCAGAACACTCGATATTCTGGCCCATGAGAGTTTTAGCTGTGGTACGGTCACGCTTCCGATGAACATCGCCTGAGTCTTCGCCACGTTGACTGTCAGTCTCCAGTCCTTCAACCAGCATTATTATTATAGACGAATATACAAATAAATATTTATATAATATACTAGCGGACCCGACAGACGTTGTCCTGTCAAATTTGACACTGCGATGGTAGCGTCGTCTGTCTGATCCAATGTAAAACATTCCAAAATCAACAACTACTAATAAATTAAAAATTAATTAAAAAAACATTGTCCAGCGGACAAAATTGTGAATCTAAACCATTCCCAGATCCCCTTGAACACACACAAAAAATTTCATCAAAATCGGTCCAGTCGTTTGAGAGAAGTTCAGTGACATACACACTCACAGAAGAATTATATATATAAAGATTTATGGTGACGAAATCATGAGGATGCGGTAGTCAGTTTTCATCAGGTGAACCGTCTGCCTATACAGGCATACGCCCCTTATTACATTAAACAAAATCATCATCATCATCAACAGCCTTCAATAGTCCACTGCTGGACATAGGCCTCTAATTAGAAAGGAGGTTTTTTCCTACTATACCACTCTGTCCAGATGAGTTGCTATAGGTATTGTGTCAAATTTTCCTCCTCTTTGCAGTGCTTTTGTCCTGCGTAGTGTCCTCCCTTAATGGGCTCTATAACACTCACACGATGGGATGAATAGAGGTGGTGACACTTCGTATTCTTAATCCGTATCCACACGAAAATTGTTTTAAAAAAATGTGTGAAATTTATTACTTCAAAAATGTTTAGAGGAGGGTTGAATTAAAGAATTTGGTCATACAATTGTGAAATATTACACATCTTTATTAATTTATTTATATAAATAGACAACTCCCGTATTAGGAATATATCCTGTTTTGTGGGGGACTTTACAGAAATACACGAAACAAACACAAAGAACACGCACATAAACAAATTGATGTTTATGCCATCTAGGGACATTTGATGAAAGCAGTTGTGCAATAACTTGCGTAAGCGCATTAATTTGACAACGTCTTCTTGACGTTGTCAAATTAATGCGCTTACGCTCCACGTCTCCACTTAGATTTTAGTACTGCTATTTCACCGCAAGATGACACCACAAGTATCAAAACATAGAAATTTTTATGAAAATTCTGAAAGAAATTCAATACGATCTAAACAATCAAAAACAAGAAATAAAAAGTATTCAAGAGAATATTACCAAATCTATAAATGACAATTTCGACCAAAAATTAATCATCATCATCATCAGCCTACTGGCATGGCGTCCACTGCTGTACGAAGATCTCCCTCAAGGAGCGCCAACCATCCCGGTCTTGAGCAATCAGGCCAGCAAACAAAAAGGCCAGACCAGACGTTCATGGCCGGAGATGGTCACTTTCCATCGGGTGACCCGTCTGCTCGTCTGCCCCCTCTAACATAAAAAAAAACATCAAACCTTTCCCGGGACTCAAGCTATCTCTATACCAAATTTCATTTAAATCGGTTCAGCCGTTTAAACGTGAAGAGTTAACAGACAGACAGACAGACACACTTTCACATTTATAATATTAGGTCTTTACCTATGAAATTGCCGTTTTGTACGCAATAAGTGAAAGTACTTATTTTTTCAAACTTTTTTATTTCTGTTACTCGAAGTAATCACCCATGCAATCGACACATCTTTGCCAACGCATTGGCAGTTCAATTCCCGAGAGGCAGTACAAAATGCCTTTGAAGAGTTTGTTGCCTCCCGTCCAGCTGATTTTTACAAGAAGGGCATCAATAAACACCTGAGGCCGGCCGTCGGGGTGGTTTACATACTCCTGGCTCCTGAGTCCCCGAGGAGCAGGAGATCCGAAGGGATTTTCCACCCCGTCAATAAAAAAAAAAGCCAAAATAAAATATATATTGAATACGTAAGGTTGTACAGAATGTTATATGTGGCTCTGACTCTGACTTTTCGGCAACATCCAGCTCGAGTAATAGGTTTGCTACCCCTGACGTTTTGGAGGCTCGATTACATTCCCCCCAATCTATTAATTTAGGCAATATTGTCCTTGTAGTGACGGATTAAAAATACGTGTCACCGTTTCTAAGGAGAGGCTAAAACCCGTTTTCTAAGGAGGGGCTTATGTCCAGCAGTACACTATTAAAGGCTGTTATTGATGATGATGAGCATTCATGTGTAAGGTAGCATCATTACGCAGTAAAATTTGTCTTAATTTGTAATTAAATAAACTTTTGCAGTTTCTTAATTCGCCTGTGTCTTTTTGTTTTTTTACACGCTTTTTATTAGCTTCACCTGCATGTATGTTTGTTTGTAACCGACTGCTTTGGGCGTGATTTTGACTTACTTTAAAGGGAGTAAATTAAGCAGGACACCAGCACTGCAGAGAGAAGGAAAACTTGACACAAACCCTATACCAACCGGTCTGGCCAGCGTGGTATAGTAGGCCAAAACCTCCTTTCTAAGGAGAGGCTTATGTCCAGCAGTGGCATTTTTAAGGCTGTTGATGTGATGATGATGAATCACAATCAAATGATGGTGAGTTGGGTTAACTTACAAATAAAAACAGAATTTGTAAAAAAATAAATCTTTATTATGTATAACGAATTGAATATCAAACAATTCATTTAAATTAACCCTGAGAGAATGGAGATCGTGCGTTCGTCCGTAAGAAGAAGATACCCCGCCGTCTGAAACAAAATAAAAAACTCAATTAAACAAAAGTTTTCTTACATATATTTTTTGGCACAAATTGGTGATCAGCTGATGTCCATATCCTAGTGAGATCATCATTATCAAATCGCGACTCTGGCTTTTTAAATTGGTGTAGTCTTACTCGAGACCTGGCGCTTTACCAGGTTTCTTTATCGGAATTTACTTCCTTCGTCAACAATGTTGGTTTCAAACATATCTCCTTTCAGGGATGAAGGTATGACTATCACCTACCCGTTCTTTGGGAGAATGCCGCCCATACGTAGAGTTTCTGGTAGGTTGCAGTTGCCGGTGAGAGCTGCACGGAGATCTGGACATCTTCTACCATTAAAGCCGCCAGACCTCATTGACTCGGCAATATAGATGAAAGACCTGGAAGAAATATGCAGTATTTCAGTAAAAGGCTGATGGTTTCTATAGTTACAGCGTATTTTGCGGTTAGACATTAGGTGCACTGTATTGCATATAGATGATTCAGTCAGAATTCCTTAGTCTTGCCACAGGGATCTATTCTTGGACCTTTTCTTTTGGTATTACTTGGGCCTGGTTGATAAACGGATACAGAAAAGAACATACGGTAAATTTAAGTCCAAAAAAATCTTAGTCCATGAGTGGTATCTGAATTTGATGATAAAATCTAATATGCAAATGTCTACGGGCGTTGCTAGCCGCTCACATGCGTTTCCTTTAATTATAAATCTTTTTTTTTTTTTTTTCTAGGAATATAGTATTTTTACGTAACAACCTCTTACGAAAGCAAGAGGTAGTTAGGTAGGTGCTAGATGATGATGAATATGCAAAAATAATTTGATATTAACAAGTTAATGGCCCCTACCTCTCGTGATCACAGAGTGCGGTGACGCAACCAGGCATCAAGCTGCCTTGGTTAGGGTAGAAGTCCACCTGACCCAGTTCTCTGGTCATACCTGCAAAATATTTAAACACATCAATATTTATCTAATGGACCTAGAAATACAGTATTCTCATTATCGAGGCTTTCAAAAGTGATTTTCAACAGACTCCAAAATAAATTTTATCAACGTAATAATTTCACAAGGATTGATATTTACCTTCTCACCAGATCTCTACACCTCCCAAAGGTTGGCTGGTAGAGAATGCCTTGGACATTAAGCTGGCCGTTATACATAAGTGCATAAAGTTGTAAATAAATAAAATATGTTCACCTCTGAGGCTCTGATAATAAAATCCAATTTAATTTGTGTTTGGTAAAAATTGGGTCTACATATTATGTAGATTTTAGACTATATAACATCAGACTAAGAGCATACATGTGATTGACTAGAATGTCGGTAGTATTATTAAGGTATGATAATTAACCTACGTACCAATATTTCCAACGCTGGTGTGGATGACTTCTGTGTAAGCACCGTCGTTTGGTCTGAATACGTTAGCAGCATCCCAACGGTCAGCAGGATCACAAGCTGTGTTTAATAGTGGTGGAATTAGTTCCATGAGATTTCATCATCAACAGCCTTTACTAGTCCACTGCTGGACATAGGCCTCTCCTTAGAAAGGAGGTTTTGGCCTACTACACCACGCTGGCCAGACGGGTTGGTATAGGGTTTGCGTCAAGTTTTCCTTCTCTCTGCAGTGCTGTTGACCTGCGTACATTGCTCCCTTAGTCGGCTCTTACGACACCCACGGGATGAATAGGGGTGGTGACACTCTGTATTCTTAATCCATCACCACACGGACCATGAGATTTAGTATTTCATAACTCTGAGTGTCTTGATACCTGTTAGACCCATCTTATGATAAACTTTACCACTTGGCCGAAAAATGAAAGAAACCCATATTTGTGGACTTTAATCAACCTTCAACCATTTATTATGAAAATGTTGGATCGACCCAGGTATTGCTAATATTCGGCTAGTATACATAACCTGCCAGCCATCTTGCGCAAATTATCACTCCTGGCCTGTGTTTGCGCAAGATGGCTGGCAGAAGCTGGATGTGAGAAGCCCAAAATCGATCTAAATATCGTGCAATTTGTGAGGCCTATGTCCAGCAGTGGACTGCGATAGGCTGATGATGATGATGATACATAACCTCAGAAAGCCGTAATTTATGAACTCAATTAGGAATTCTCTTTTATTTTGGAGGATATAGGCAGGCTTTTTATACATCTCGGCCTACCAATACCAGGATATACGTGTGACTGTATGCATGTGTTTAAATTTTATAAAAACTTTGAGATGTACTCACCAATGACATACGAAGCTCTGCTGTTCATTGTTCTACTGATGAAACCGGCTCCGTGACCTTGAAAATTTGATTAAATTTTAGTTGAAAAATTATAATTTGCATGATGAATATGTTCTTCAAAGATTATAATTTGCATTCTAAATATTTCCTTCCAAGACTATACATATTAATTAATATTAGTGAACAATGTGGAAAGTCCATGAGGTGACGAATTAAGAATACGAAGTGTCACCACCCCTATTCATCCCGTGCGTGTCGTAAGAGCCGACAAAGGGACTAATCTAATAAACTATGCAGGACAACAGCACTGCAAAGAGAAGGAAAACTTGAAACAAACCCTATACCAACCCGTCTGGCCAGCGTGGTATAGTAGGCCAAAACCTCCATTCTAAGGAGAGGCCTATGTCCAGCAGTAGACTGTTATAGGCTGATGATGAAGAATGGTCACTTGACCTATCTCACACCTGGCTAGGCGTAAAAAGGCAGAGTTTATATTATGATAACCGAACTACTGATTGACAAATTTGTATCTTATTCGATACTATTCCACACTTGTATTATAAAATTGTAAGTGAGTTTCCTTGTTTAATTGTTTGTTTGTTATGTTTTCAAGCCTAAACCTTTAAATCGATTTTAAAAATTCTTTCACCAATGGAAAGCTTTATTATCAGCAAGTGTTATAGGCTACTTTCACTGACGTGACAATCGAAATACGCGTGGTTAGAGCTGCGAGAAAATCTAGTAATAGATATACATATTGTTTTTCCACCATGATTTCCTTCAACCTTCTGGTGTTTGTAGTCTTGGTAAGTTGTTTAAAATTATTTACCTCCATCTCTTCTTTGTTAACTCTCTTCTTTCCACCGATTTCAAAGAAAGAAAAGGTTGAATTAAAAAAAAATATGCATGTTACTTCAAAACTTTGTCATATATGATCCGATTTGGAAAATTGTTTGGTTGTTCAGAAGGGTATACCTACTTTTCGGTTAGCGCCCATTTAATTTGATGGACAAATTAATAATAACTCCTACAGATAACTCCTACACTCAGACACAGAACAAAATCATGTGCTAATTTTACCATTATTTGGCAAAAATTCGAATTGAGTTCACGAACTCTGAATCAGGAGTCAGGATCACTCAATTCTTCACCACCAGCTTTTTTATTGGTCTTCTCTAAAAGACTTATAACACGTGCTCACCTCCCACACTGTAACCGACGACAGTTATTTGGTTGGCCCTTGCACCCGTCAGGTTCATCAACCAATTGACAAATCGTCCGCCGGCTCTACCTGCAAAAGAGTTTTACGATTATTCATAAACCACTAATGATGGACAGGCTCAACCGGAGTGATACCATGTCTTCACAAAAAAACCGGTGCTAATCAGTTCTTTTGTTGATTTTCACTGAGTGAGTGAAGTTACCAGAGCCCAACCTTCCCCCCTTCAGCCTTTTTTTCTGTGCGGAAATCCCCTCGGATGCCACCCACCGGTGGGATGGTTATGTTGGACTCGAACCTACCAAAAATCGCATTCCGTTTTGGGTATCAGTTTCCGGGGAACCAGGTGTACCCTAGAAAGGAAATTCTTGGAATTCCCCCTGAATCTGAGGGGTGAGCTCAAAGGGCGGAAACTCACTTGGAACTCTGTTGTTTTCACTTACCATTACGTAGCACGTCTACTCGTTTGCTCCCTTAGTAATCTAGTGATAAATAATACTAATATTTTCAGACATCTAACGCACAACGCCATCTAGTTACAAACTAAGCAAAGCTTGCACTACGAAAGTTAGGTTGACTAATAGAATACTTATATATATATTTTTTTGTGAATACATACTTAATAAACTTATCGCAGATCATACAAACCCGAGACCTCAGCACAGCAGTCGTAAACGCTACCATTGCCCAACCGAGGCAGTCAAAATGATATTCAATTACTAGATTTTGAATTTGAATGCAAAAAAAAAAACAGAAATTGAAATGGATTTACTCACCAGCATCCATAGCTCGTGGTCCCCAATTGGATCCAGCACTCCAGTCCAAGACTATCACATTACAATCGTCTCCAGCCAAAAAACCTTGAAATAGAAATTTGAGCATATGATTAAGAAAAAAAAGCACAGAGATAAGTTTCTTTTATAAGAAGACGAAGCATATTTTTGAGAACGAGAGAGAGCCGTGCTTCGGCAGAAAGCAGTGAACCTACTGTTGTTAAGAAATTCTATTCTTGTTTTTCACTGAGTGAGTGTGAGTAAGGGGGGGGGGGGGGGTTGAGGCCCTAAGGAGAAGGCTGTTAATATGTGTGTTATATTTCAAGGATGGCAACACTCCTGTGACTCTTGAGCTCCAGGTGTGCATAGGCGGCGGTAATCAGTTACCATAAGGTGACCAGTCTGCTCGTTTGCCCTCCCTCCCTCTATGCTGTGAAAATACTTAGTATGGACTAGTCATTTTCTCTATTTTTAGGGTGCCGTACCTTAAAAGGTAAAAAAGGAACCCTTATAAGATCACTTTCTTGTCCTTCTGTCCGTGTGTCACCACCGAATTTCTCAGGAACGGGTAGACCATGGTCCCTATTAGGTGTATAAAAATCAAGGTCCTGAGTAAACACGAAGAAAAGATATAGGCAAATATCGATTTTCGAGAAAACTTGTAAGTAAAAAAAATTACCTTAATTTTCAACTTTTTTTATTTTTCAGAATTTTCTCTTTACGTGTGCTATAAGACCTTGCTTGTAACCAAAATTGACAATTCTAGGTCAACCGGAAGTACCCTATAGAGTAGGTATAGGGTTTGGGTCGAAAACCTATATGGTAGTTCCCGTTGACCTAGAATTACGAAATTTGGCAAAAAGAAACGTCTTACAGCACAAATAAAGAAATAATTCCAAAAAGTAAAAAAAGTTCGACAAATTTTGGTGCTTGCAAATTTTCGCGAAAATCTACGTAAAATCTTGGTAGGTACAGTACCCTCGGCGCACGAGTTCGACTCGTACATGACCGGTTTTTTTTTGTTCTTCCTTAGTGTAATAGGTAATAGTAAATGTTTACCTGGTACCAAGTTGGTATTGAAGCTAGATGTTGCAGAACCAGCAAAACCATGCATCAGGATAACTGTTCGTCTTCTTGCATTGAAATTGGAATTAGTGACGGAGGCAGCATTATTCAAAACCAATTGTTGACTACGGGAGGGATTTTGCCTGGTGATCATTAAAAACACGTTAAGTTTTTTAATAGCCTATTGCATTAGTTATTAGTGATCCTGGCGCTAAGCTAGATGCCATGGGTTCTAATCCCAGTCAGGAGAAATAACTGTGTGCTGAGCATAATCATTTGTATCATCAGTAGTTTAGTTACCATTGCTCAGGTTCTGTTTAATTTTGCAATTACACGGCTGTGTATAAAGCTATTACTTTAAGGGTAAGGTTACTTAGTAATCATATGAAAACCCTCGATGGCACGAAGGGTTTTTTCATTATATTGGGTGTTTCCCTGTATTATGATCATCATTTCTGCCATATGATGTTTACTGCTGCTGCCAGACAAGGAAGCCTTCCACAATGGCTTTAGTGAAAGCCGGTTGAAAGCGATCGCAATTCACCTTTGATAATCTTTCTATAGTAATTTTTACAGCTTATTAGTGACAGAAATCAAATATTTGTCGACTATAAAAATCATCATCAGCATAATCATTATCAACAGCCTTTACTAGTCCGCTGCTGGACATAGGACTCTTCTTAGAAAGGAGGTTTTGGCCTACTATACCACGCTGGCCAGACGGGTTAGTATAGGGTTTGTTTCAAGTTTTCCTTCTCTTTGCAGTGCTTTTGTCCTGCATAGTTTACTCCCTTAGTCGGCTCTTACAATACCCACGGATACTATAAAAACAATGGATCTAAATTTTGATAATTCCTTTCTCTAACAGCCTGTTAAGGTCTTTAAACACACGTCATTTCTAAAGCTACTTCACCAAAGTGCCATAGAAGTTTCAACCTACCTGGTGAACAGATGGTACTGGTTGGACTGATCAGGGTTATACCGGGCGAGGTTGTTATAATCGCTGAGCTTTAGCCAGTTGTCCACGAGCCGAAGCTCGCCGGCGTCAGTCTCTAGGTAATCATACCGGAGACCTTCGGAAAATTTGCCGAGGACTGGATCGGCGGGGGCGGCTATAAAGCAAGAAAAATTTAATATGAAATGAAGAATACGGTTCATCGTTTTTACGAATGGCGTAGTGGTTTAAGCAGTCACATTGTTGCTTCCTACTGCGTTGAGTGTTGTGGGCTCGATTCCCATATATCACAACTTTGTGTGATCCACAAATTGTTGTTCTGAGTTTGGGTGTTCTTTGTGTCCGTTTCATATATGTTTGTATATATTCCTGATGCGGGAGTTGTCTTTGATTATATATCACAATTTATCATTAATATGAGATTTGAAGTGGAGTTACTTTTTTTAAATTTAATGAGATTTTTGTTTTGACTTGTATCAGAATTTAATAGTCTACTGCTGGACATAGGCCTCCCCTTAGAAAGGAGGTTTTGACCTAACACACCACGCTGGCCAGACGGGTTGGTGTCTAATTTTCCTTCTCTCTGCAGTGCTGTTGTTCTGCGTAGTTTTGTCCCGTAGTTGACTCTTACGACACCCACCAAATATATATATACATCAAATATTTGTGTAATTACATCAAAACCATTATTTCTCATTTTTTTAAGTCTTTAATTTTGACATGACATTATCGCTGAGAGCTCAACTGATATTTAAAATTGATTATATCATTAAGAAATTATGTTTAATTTTATCAAAATACAAGAATTTTGATATGATAAGTAAATTACTTAAATTTTCATTTCGCACTTATAATGAACTCGTCCTGTCTCGCCCCAGATAGCTCGTGCCGCTTTATTGTTATCAATAATATTTATCATTAACATCATTTTGACGACCAAATGGTTTGTGTCAACATCATCATCATCATCAACAGCCTTTTCTAGTCCATTGCTGGATATAGGCCTCTCCATAGAAATGATATTTGGCCTACTATACCACGCTGGCCAGACGGGTTGGTATAGGGTTTGTGTCAAGTTTTCCTTCTCTCTGCAGTGCTGTTGTCCTTCGTAGTTTGCTTCCTTAGTCGCGACGCCCACGGGATGAATAGGGTTGGTGACACTGTATTCTTAATCTGTTTTATTTTTATTTTTTTAAAGACAGTTACTTCATTAGGAATATATCCTGTGTCGCGGGGGACTTTACAAACATATATGAAACGGATACAAAGAACACCCAGACTCAGAACAACAATTTATAGATCACACGACGTGATGTCCCATGTTGCAGTTGAACCCACAACACTTAGCACAGGCGAGGTGACCGCCTAAACCACTCTGATATCCGTGCAGTCAAAATGTACTGTTGTCCTGCGTAGTTTGCTCCCTTTAGAGGCTCTTACGACACCCACGGGATGAATAACACTTTTGACACTCCATATTCTTAATCTGTCACCACCATCACCACCACGGATATTTATATATTATTAATTTTACTTTGGACATAGGAACCAATTCTTAGGGTGACTTTACGTATACCTGTAACTTTAAATTTTGAAAAAAGACGCTGGGCGACTTCTAATAATCTTTGGCGATAATTTTTATGATTTTCATGATCTATCTGTGAATTGCAAAAGAGTGGCCATGAGTTTGTTTGCTCTTTCTTCTCATAAGACTCAACCCCTTGGAAACGGGCGGTTGTAGATCGGCACAGGCATATCATAGATTTTGTATGGGTTTGATGTTTGTTAAATTTATTTGTTTACTATTTGACAAAACAGAGATTGTTGCTTTTGTGTGTGTGGATCTATGACTTTAGAGTCTACATAAAAGACGTATTCAAACAATTTAATGAAATAAAGATAATTTGAGTCAATTTAATTATTTTTTTAATAAATTCATATTGAATTAAAAATAAAAGAAATTTAGAAAAATGTATTCTCACCCGCCGCAAACGCAGCCTGGACAACTAATACTGCAGCGATTACTTTAAACATTTTTGTGTGTTTGATTCTGTGGTAAAGCTTCCACCTTAAATAGTTAAAAGATATGATTCCACTATCTTAATGTGAAAGAGATATCATTTAAGAAGATTAATCGATGCACCAGTATGATCGTATTATGATGATCGATGTGCCAATTTTTAGGGTTCCGTACCTTAAGAGGTAAAAAAGGAACCCTTATAAGATCACCACCAATTTTCGCAGGAATGGGTAGACCTAGCAAGTTGAAATCTTTACCAGATACTGAGGTTTATGGTCCCTATTAGGTAGGAAGGTCCCTTTAGGAAGGAGGTTTTGGCCTACTATTTTGGATTGGAAAGGCAAAGGCATTAATATCAAAGAAGTCTATCAAACCCACCTAAGATTCGCAGACGACTTGATGCTCTTAAACGAAACAGGATCAGGAATCCAGTATATGTTAGAATCACTCAATGAAGTTAATAAACTAGTAGGCTTGGAAATGAACTTATCCAAAACAATTTTGATGACTAACAGCAAAAAGAGAAGGCTATTTGTTGGTAGCGAGCCTCTCAAATATACAGACAATTACTAATACCTAGATAAGCAAATTAGCTTTGACTAAAATAGTAACGATCAAGAAGTAGAGCGCAGGGTTAACGTAGAACAAATACTGGGAACTGAAGGGTTCAAAAGCACTGCACACACTGCACGCCGATAAACATTAAAACTTAGGTATTAAACTCGTGCCGTATACCATGCCTACAGTATGCTTGTCAAACTAGGAGTCTAACAAAAGAACAAAGGTTTTGTTTTTTTTAAGACAACTCCCGCTCTATGAATAAATCCTGTGTTGTGGGGGACTTTCCAAACATACATGAAACGGACTCAAAGAGCACTCAGACTCAGAACAACAATTTGTGGATCACACAAAGTGTCATCCCATGTGGGGACCGGACCCACAACACTTTAGATTTAGAAGCATGAAATTTAACATAAATGTATCTTAGGTGACGTTTATGTGTGTGCACTGCGAAAGGATTATAAAAAAAAAATATCCTAAGGGTGCAAAATGGATGTTGGAGATTTATAAGAAACTTCGTTTTTAGGATTCCGTACCTCAAAAGGTATAAAAATAACCCTTATAAGATCACTTTCTTGTCCGTCTGTCCGTGTGTCACCACCGATTTTCTTAAGAACGGGTAGACCTAGTAAGTTGAAATTTACACCAGATACTGAGGTCTATAGTCCCTATTAGGTGTATAAAAATCAAGGTCCTGAGTCAACATGATGTTGACTCAGGACCTTGATTTTAAATAGATATGGGCAAATTTAGTTTTTATTTTATTTTATAGAATTTTCTCTTTACTTGTGCTGTAAGACCTTGCTTTTGACCAAAATTGACAATTCTAGGTCGACCGGAAGGACCATATACGTTTTGGGTCGCAAACCTATATGGTAGTTCCCGTTGACCTAGAATCACGAAATTTGGCAAAAAGAAACGTCTTACAGTTTTCGTTTTTGATAGTAGCGTTTGTAGCCCCAGCGGTTTAGGGAACTAAACCGCTGGGGCTACAAACTTGAAATTCTAGCACCTGATGATTTTTTTTAATTTTACTTCTAAAATAAGGGATGAACGGTTCTGTGAAGTTTTTCATTTTGAAAGCTAGAAACACGAAATTAGAAATAATCACGCGATGGAAGTCGCGGGCAATAGTTAGGCCACAAATATTTCCAGGAGTACAAGATAAAGAGTGCTTTATCCATTTAAAATTATCGCCCGCAGCCGCGCATTACAAAAAAAAAAATACTGGTCAAAATATCGTTCCGTACCTACCCAGATTTTACGTAGATTTGGCGTGCAGTGTGTGCAGTGCTTTTGAACCCTTCAGTTCCCAGTATTTGTTCTACGTTAACCCTGCGCTCTACTTCTTGATCGTTACTATTTTAGTCAAAGCTAATTTGCTTATCTAGGTATTAGTAATTGTCTGTATATTTGAGAGGCTCGCTACCAACAAAAAGCCTTCTCTTTTTGCTGTTAGTCATCAAAATTGTTTTGGATAAGTTCATTTCCAAGCCTATTTTATTGACATCATTGAGTGATTCTAACATATACTGGATTTCTGATCCTGTTTCGTGTAAGAGCATCAAGTCGTCTGCAAATCTTAGAAGGGTTTGATAGACTTCTTTGATATTGATGCCTTTGCCTTTCCAATCCAAAATAGTAGGCCAAAACCTCCTTCCTAAAGAGAGGCCTATGTCCAGCAGTGGACTATTGAAGGTTGTTGATGATGATGATGATGATTGCCTTTCCAATTGAGTTGACTGATGATCGATTCCAGTGTTGCTATAAATAGCAATGGCGCAAGACCTTGTCTTACTCCTGTTTTTCTCGGAAACCAAGGCCTAGCTGTCTCTAGTTTGACTCTGCTCTTACTGTCATTGTATATTCTCTTGATTACACAAATGTATTATTTTTCTACCCCTTGTGTTGTCAGGCTTTCGTTTATGCTTCAACCAACCGACCAACTGCACGAATGGCGTAATGGTTTAAGGTCGCCATGGCACTTCCCACTACGCTGAGTATTATGGGTTCGATCCCCACATAGGACGACACTTTGTGTGATCCATAAATTGTCGTTCTGAGTCTGGGTATTTTGTGTGTCCGTTTCATGTATGTTTGTAGTCTTTTTTGTTGTTTGTTGAGCGGAAGTTGTCTTCTTAAAGAAAAAAAACTTCGTGAATACAAATCTTAAACATTTAAAATTTCGGCATGAACGTAGCTATATTTTATAGGACAAAATATCCCCCTTTGAAACAAAAACTCATTTTTGAAGTTACTTTACTTGGAGAATATCGCATTTTGATTAGGCTCTAAGTGATGAAATTGTGATTTTTAGCATTAAGACGATTATATGTAAATATCCCCTTTTGTAAAGCCACTCCTCAATAAAGATGACTGCACGGATGGCGTAGTGGTTTAAGCGGTCGCCACGCCGCTTCCTACTGTTCTGAGTGTTGTGGATTCAAACCCCACATGGGACGACACTTTGTGTGATCCACAAATTGTTGTTCAGAGTCTGGGTGCTCTTTTTGTCCGTTTCATGTATGTTTGTAAAGTCCCCCGCGACACAGGAATGTATTCCTAATGCGGGAGTTGTCTTTTTAAAAATAAATAAACCAAAAAAAACACCACGCTTAAATAATCTTTCATACTCCTTTTTTTGTAAAGTCGTGTGAAAATTATTAAAATATCGCTACTGATATGATAATATTTAATCCATAATGCAGTATTATGTTTTCTCTGCAATAAAAATAATCAATAACCAAGTTTCAAATTAATCACATATTGATTAAAACCGGTTCGACAAACGTGACTCCTTTTGGTGACGCAAATTACATTTGATATTTCAACGTCCATATAATAGTGGTAGCTCGTATAGTACCAGTATTATCGTTCAATTATAACATTAATAAATACTAGTATTTCTGATCATCAGCACGGATTTAGAAGCGGTCGCTCAATTTTGACAAATCTAGTTACCTTTATTTCAGACATATCTCAAGAAGTAGATGCTGGATCACAAGTAGATGCAATATATATTGACTTTAGCTGTGCTTTCGATAAGGTCAATCATAAAGTTCTTTTACAAAAAATGCATGCCTATGGCATAGGGGGGCCATTGTTAAACTGGTTCGAATCATATTTGCAACATAGACCACAAAGTGTGGTTGTGAACGGATTTGAGTCACGAGCTTATTATGCGGTTTCTGGAGTGCCTCAAGGTTCCCACTTAGGACCAGTTCTCTGCCTTATTTTTATAAATGATATAAGTTCTATTATTAAGCACTGCAAAATGTCACTATTTGCTGATGATCTTAAGATTTTTCCAAGATAAGCTTCTTCTTAAGATTACCATCCAGTTAAATCAACCAGTGATTCCCAACTAATACAAGATGACCTTAATGCAATATTAGATTGGTGCAACGTAAACTGCATGAGGCTTAATGTTAATAAATGCTTTCACATGAAGTACACCCGCAAAAAAAAACCACTTGTTACTAAGTATGAGGTTGGCGGGGTTTATTTAGCAGAGGTCAATGAGATTCGTGATGTGGGCGGCATCGATACAGGGCTAACTTTTACATCGCATATTGACAAAACTGTAACTAAGGTAGCACAAATGCTTGGTTTTTTGAGGAGAAATAGCTCAGATTTTAAAAAACTAGATACCAAATTACTTCTGTACAATGCTCTTGTCCGCAGCATTCTCGAATTTGCGAGTACTGCATGGTCACCATGGTACGCTGTTCATTCAAAAGAATTGAAAGCATTCAAAGAGCCTTCACCAGAAACCTTGCCTACTCTTGCAGTGGTTTTTCTCATAGGAGCCCGTATGACACACGGCTATCCAAGTTTAACATGACCACTCTTTGTAATCGCAGACGCATTTTTGACCTTTGTTTTCTTCATAAATTAATTAATAATAATATACAGTACAATTATTTATTAGAAAAAATATCAGTGAAGGTTCCTCACTCTTATCCCAGACATAGAATAACTAAAATATTCCACACACAATTTTCAAGAACTAATTTAGGCCAACATTCACCCATAAATAGAGTCCTTAACCAATATAATAGTATCCAAACTCGTGATCCAGACATTGACATCTTTCGCCAATCGTTTAATGAATTTAAAACTAAAATAACAAATGTTTTGTGTCCATCAACCTTAACCCCAAACAAATGTGAATAAGATATAAAATAGATTTAGAGTAGTATTAATTCAAACAGTTTATTATTATTATTAAGTATACTCTTCTTTAGTTTTTTTTTTCTCGTTTGATTGTAATTAGTTTACTACATTTTACACTACTACATTACAGTAAATGCTATGTACACCTTAATTGTCATACATATCAGGTATAATCCCACATATTTTCAAAACTAGTTATAAGTATAACATATATGATGTGGTAGTACTTATTAATAAATAAATAAATAAATAGTGTGGTGACGGATTAAGAATACAG